AGGCTGCCAGGAGAGCTCTGTAGCATTTTGCACAGCAGCCAGCAGTGTGACCAGGCCACCCGTTATTCTCAGCACTCCCGTCCAACAACGGGTTCCCAGCACTGCGCTGGCAGCTGGCGTGACTCAGTACCCGACAGAAACGCCTGCTTTGCTCTATAAGCCATAAACCATCACAAAGCAGTGTTGGGAGTGGTGCGGCCGTGGACGATACGTACGGAGCGGTGTGATAGTGGCTGGGGGGGGGGGGGGGGGGGGGGGGGGGAAAAAAGTGGGGCAGCCAGCTTCATCCAGCTGCCACTGCCGCAGCTTAACCACGTCTTGACGGGGCTCTGCAGCTGGGTCTAGGCTCAAATGACTGCATGGATCAAATGACTGCACGACCCAGGAAAATTCAGCCTGTTCCCAAAGAAACCTACTGGAAAGTCAAAGAGCAGACCTGCGAGGCATACAGCTGGCTGGGAGCAGTTTGTGAGCTCTTAGTGCACAACACACACTGATTTTTGTCCATCCCTGCCCATGGTGATGGTGCAGTCACCATCCCTGGAGGGGTTCAAAAAACATCTAGATGTGGCACTTCAGGACATGGTTTAGTGGTCAAGGTAGTGTTGGGTTGATGGTTGGACTTGATGATGTTAGAGGTCTTTTCGAGCCTTAATGATTCTATGATTTTATTCTTCAGGGAAAAAAATGTTTCTGTAACCAATGGGTTGGGATGGCCTGTTCCTACCTGAGCAGGTGGCAAGCCACACTACTTGCTGTACACCATTTTGAATATAAAAAAATATTGAAATACCCATAGTTCAAAGTCTCATTAGGACACATAAGAGAGTCTGCCACAACAAGACCCACTCTGGAGAGCCCCCTGCAAAGGAACATCAGGAAGTAAAAGGGTGAACTGCCATGGGGAAAATATAGAGGGAAAGTTATTTCAGAAAAAAGATAAATCCAAAACCAACCAACCAAAAACCCAAACCAAAAAGTTCCAGAAAATATGCATTAAAATGGACAATTTCTAACCTAAATCACAGTGTGTCTTTTCCAGAACTGACAGACACAGACTGTGGTTCTTCTCTCAGTATCAAACACAGGGCAGGGACGCTGTACTACCTTCCAGTAGAGTCTTGTTCAAGTGCAGGATGGGCCAGAACCAACCTGTGAGCCACACTGAAATCTAAAGGTGTCAGGGTGGACCCTCTGTTCCCCTGCTGTGGGCAGCTCTGCTGCCTGGGCCGTGCTCTGACAGCTCCTTGCACACTATGCTACTCAGCCAGCGTGACCCTGATTTATTCCAGTTGTGATGGCACCCACATACCACAAAGAAACAACCACCAGCTCCCAGAGTGACATGCTGGATGTCTGGCCTGGAACACGCTGGCTCAAGAGAGGGCTTTAGTTTGCATTGGATTATTCCCCAAAACTGCTTTAAACATTAACAATAAAAAGTTTCCTGTTGTCCTGCTTCCCACCTGCTCAGCCTTTTCCCCACATCTGATGAAGGAGGGCTAGAGCCAGGGGCCCTTTCCCAACGTGCAGCAGCCATGCTGCAGGGGACGTGCTGTCACCGAAGAACCAGGACACAACTGCAGCCAGAGCAGCAGCAGTTTATTCCCACAGCTGTGAAGGAGAGCACAGTGCAGCAGAGTGACCAGCACTGCTGATGGGAACTCTGCCCAAATAGAGCAGTTACAGAGCTTATAGATCTTTAGATTATGCAACTCATTCTTCACCAGACCGCCTCAGATAAGCAGGGCACTGTAAATAACAGCAGCGTTTTTCAGATAAGAAGGCTTTAGCCAGCACACTCTTTAAAAAATAAATCACTCCTTTGTTAATTAAACTGATGAGAGCATTACCGACAAATATGTCTTCACTAGCAAGTCCTGCAAGGCAGTAACTATCTTCCTTCCCTCTGGGGAGGGCCAACATCAGCACTGGGACTCGAATCACCCCCATGCAGGGAGGGGAGCTGAGCCAAGGGCTGGATGGGGGAACCTGCCTTCAGCACTGACTGCAGAGCACACCAGAGCCCCTCGGCTGGAGACAAGCTGTGGCACCCAGAAATGGAAGGTCTCCCAACAGCATTCTTGGCACATGGAGGAAAATCAAGCAAGTAATCTCCTGCCTTACCAAGATCATCCTGCCCTTTACTTTAGCCAGCACACTCTTCCCATTTAATGGAAGAGCTCACTACAGCCAAGTCTGTGTCTGCATGCAGGAAAAGTCAGCAGCAGCCACTGTGACGGTCAAATGTTCCCAGGCTCCAGCCCTGAAATCCACCCAGAGAGACCCGGTTCATGTTTCTCTGCCCCATGCTGCAAACACAGTTCACCCTGCACACGGAAACTTTCCTGGCAACAAGGGCAAATTTGGCCTTCACAGTGGTCTCTTCCTTGATCCCTGGGTGGGATGAGAGTCAGGGCCACAGCAATTTAAAAAGGTCCCTTAGCTCATGTCCCTTCTGCCTTGGCTGGATTAGAGATGGTCTATCTCTTCTGTGAATTGCCTTGTTTGGAACTGGAATGGACTCACTTCTGCAGACTTGCTGGCTGACATGTGGGACAGCCTAGATAGAAAAAACATATCACACTCACATGCTCTTAAATCATCCACTTATGCCATTTGGAAGTGAATGAGGACCAAAGTACAGGCCAAAACTTTCCTAAAGACACTGCCAGTTTTCTCCTTGGAATTTCTTGCATGTAGACACATCAGGTTGAGCCAAATCAAGCTAATAACACATAAAAGGCTGAAGCAGAGAGAGGGAAAAGTTTGGGAGGAAGTAGCTTGACCAATGCTGGTTTCACTGTAGCAGCTTCACATAATTTGCTGGGAAGAGGCCAACTTTGCCCCGGCACTGCCCCCGCCACCAGCCCTCATCCACCATCTCAATGTGTGTGATCGTGTCGTCAGGATCAAAAGATATCTCATCATCTCCATCTGCAAAAATTGTTCAGAAAAGATAGTCACAATGCGAAGATAACCCCAGAGAGAGATGGTTTTACATCCCTCCTCCCAGCAGGATACAAAAGAAGCACCCTGATTAACCTTCAGAGTTCATCTCATCCAACCCCCATCAAACAGCACAGATAAGGCAGAGAAAGGAGCATGACTTCACAGATGAAAGATAAAACTTCTGTGTTTCCAAGTCAGGTCTCATTCTGCTGTCCAAAAGGAAGAAATTTAAACTCCCAAATCAAAACCTATTCACCACTGCTGATGGTGTTAAGCCACCACCCCTGTCACACCACCCTGGCCAGATCCCAGTGCCTCTCCCCACAGCCTGGATGGCAGACCCACCTCCTTGGTAATCATAGAGAGCCACTGCACAGGTTCCAGGGCTCTCCACCTCATAAACATTGTCCGTTTCCCCTGCAGAAGACAGGATGGGCAGATGAGAGAGAGGCGGAAAGCAGCCACACAGATCTGGCCAGTGCCACCCTCCACCCAGCCATCAGCCTCAGGGTGACACCCATCCAAAACCTGTTAACAGGGAGAGGTGTACCATGGCTCAAAGCAAGGTATGGCTTCTCTTCTCTCTCCTCTTCTGCAAGGAGAGAGGCTGAGATAGCCTGATGCTTCATGTTCCTCTCCCAAGAAAAAGGCTGGACATAATACCAGCCTCCCCACTTACCATCTCCAGTACCAGCAAAGCTGTGACAGAAACATCAACTGCAGCTCATGCAGTTTGCTTATACGCTTGGAGGAAGACTACCCTGTGCTCCTCACACTCAGGAGGTAGCACCAGATCAGGTCTCATGAGCATCAGCCATTTGAGTGACAGGCTGAATTAAAAGGGCACCACCAGGCTTCAGTGCAGCACTGGCAGTTGCTTGCCAGGAAAGAGGGCACCAAGAGAATCAGTCCAGGTCCAGCCTCCCAGAGCCCACGGCAGCCCTCTTGTCCTCCTGCCTGAGTCCTGCTCCAGCAGAGACACCTGTTGCCTGGCCCAGCATCCCATGCAGCTGATCTTGCACCTTGGAGCTGGGAAAGGGAGTGGTAGACAAGCAAGTCTCTACCACCATGGGTGCTCCCCTTGACCACAGTAGGCTTCAGGATACATATTCCCTCTGGAGTCTGGCCCATACATCCAGTGAGGTCAGTAGACAGATACAAGCTCCCCAAGACATGAGGTCTTCCATCAGTACTCACCCAGATAAGGCTGGCTCTGGTTGGGCTGCTCAGGAAGGATCTCCTCATAGTCCTCACCTCCATCTCCTCCATCATCATAGATGTCATCCAGCTTTCCCAAAGGTGCTGGAAGCTCCTCATAGTCAGCATCTCCACCAGCACCATCACAGTAGTCAGAGGGCTCTAGCAGCTCCTCATAGTCTCCACTGGCATCCAGACTTTCACTGTAGATGGGCTGATCCTGGCTGGGGATCTTGCTCAGCTCCTCATCCAAATCTGCTGGCCTTGGTGGCAAAGTGGGTGGTGTTTCCTCATCCTCCCTTTTTGCCTTCTGCCATGAGGTAAGAAAGTGAGAGGGAAGTCACTTGCAAAGCATCCACTGCAGGCAGTTCCCCCATGACTGCACAATGCCCAACACAAGGGAGCTCACTGCACTGCCTTCAGTGCTACCGTGCCAGAAAGGCAGCGTCAGCCTCTGCGCCACGGGGAGGCAGCTCAGCCATCAGCTCCGTGCTGCACTGGCACCTGGGGCTGCTGCAAGGACCCTCGTGGCTCCTGGGGCTGCTGCAAGGACCCTCGTGGCTCCCGGATCTGAACCTCTCTCACGTACTTAGACACAGCTCACTGTACTGCCCCTGCACTGACCCACTCCAAGAGCCCGTCTCATGGTGTAAGGTACCGTGCGCCCATGTCCCATCACCATCCCAGTGTCTACCCTCTCACTCCTGCCAAAGCCTCGCCCGTGCTGTGGCTGCACCCCACTTTTTCCTGCAGGGCTGCCCACAGAGCACAGCCCCCTCCGGTGCAATCCCTCTACCTGCTCCCCTTCCCAGCCGTCCCCAGCGCGCCTTGGCACCTGCTCTCCTGGTGACACGGGCCTGTCCTGGGCAGCCCTCACGGGTACCCTGGCTGGCACAGTGGCTGGGGCTGCGTCTGTATGGCCCGTCTCTCTCTGTGGAATTTCCTGCAGGAGAGAAGTCATCAGATCCTGCCAGTCCCTTTGAATGGTGTCCACAGCAATATCCATTCCCCTACACGGAATCACATCGGGATTGGAAGGGACTTCTGGAGATCATCTAGTCCAACACCCTTGCTAAAGTGGGTTCACCTAGAGAGCAACTCAGAAGATTTTCCTTCAGCTGAAATCTGTTCCAGCTCACAGAGCAACTCTCACATTTTCCTCCAGCTGAGATCTGTTCCAGCTCCCATAAACCCACCTGAGGGACTGGACACCAGCAGGCCTGTAACAACTACGGGGTCAGCAG